TGTGTGGTGAACAATTCTTCCATATTATCTGACTTGTGTGGTGAACAATTCTTCCATATTATGTCACTTGTATTGTGAACAATTCTTCCATATTATCTGACTTGTGTGGTGAATAATTCTTCCATATTATGTCACTTGTATTGTGAACAATTTCCCATATTATCTGACATGTATTGTGAACAATTCTCCCATATTATCTGACTTGTATTGTGAACAATTCTTCCATATTATCTGACTTGTGTTGTGAACAATTCTTCCATATTATCTGACTTGTATTGTGAACAATTCTTCCATATTATCTGGCTTGTTTGGTGAACAATTCTTCAATATTACCGGTATCAATTCTTTACAGGATCTTGATTGGCTGATCAGTTGTTTATATTTTTTTTGTGTCCTCAACCATATTTTGAATATACCTTACCTTTCAAAGTTGGTTCAAAGAAAATAAATGATGGTATACATTTGGATGTTTATTAGTCCCTGTTCGGACGCAGTCCGAAAACGGGGACTTATGTTTTGACCTCTGTGTTTCTGTGCGACCGTGCGTGCGTGTGTGCGTGCTTATGGATTTTGTTCGAAATTGGTGTATAAGTTAGACATTATAGAACCTTGATGTATATCATTTTGTTTTTCAGAAAAGATTAAAAATGGCTGACTGGCAGCCATTTTGTTTTAATGAATGTGGTTCTAGTGCCATATCTCTGACTTGCTTAGACTGATTATGTTCAAATTTTAAATATTCATTATAAATCATGTCATAGATATACAGTTATATTGGTTTGACGATCCTATTCAAAATGGCCGAATGGTGACCATTTTTGTGCTAACAAATCATCAAAATCCAGCATTTCCCGGCTGTTTAGAGATGGATTTTGTTCAAACCTTGTATATACGTTGGACATTATAGGACCTTGATGCATATCATTTTGTTTTTCAGATACATTTAAGATTCAAAATGGCCGACTGGCAGCCATTTTGTTTTAATGAATGTGGTTCTAGTGCCATATCTCTGACTTTCTTAGACTGATTATGTTCAAATTTTAAATATTCATTTTAAATCATGTCATAGATAGACAGTTATATTGGTTTGACGATCCTATTCAAAATGGCCGAATGGTAGCCATTTTTGTGTTAAAAAATCACCAAATATCAAGCATTTCTGCCATTTATGGATGGATTTTGTTCAAACTTGGTACATACATTAGACATTATGGGTTCCTGATGCATGTCATTTTATTTTTCAGATTGGATTTAAAATGGCCGACTGGCAGCCATTTGTTTTAATGAATGTGGTTCTAGTGCCATATCTCTGACTTGCTTAGACTTATTATGTTCAAATTTTATATATTCATTATACATGTATTCAAAATGGCTGATTTTGTTTTAATTAATGCTGTTCCAGAGCAATATCTCTCAATACTCGTTAGACGATCAGATACAAATGTCAATCATTTTAATGTTAAACAATCATCTTAATCATATTCCTGACATGTTTATGTTCCAGCTATATTACTATAAACAAAACTATATATCTTAAATTTGATAACTAACGGGGACTGTGCCATGCATGGCTTGTTTATTTCTTATTTTTATAATCTCTGACTGACTGGTGTTCATTTTAGTCCCCAAAACAACATTGAAACATGACATTAGCCATTTCTCATGCATGACTTGGTTTATTTCATTGGCATGGACAACAAACATGTTTAATGCACATCACTTTGCTTTATGAAGACAATAACAGTGACTAGTTCTCTGTCAAATGTATATTTCCCCCTACCAATCGGTATTAAGTAGATTGGCCCATGTAGATGATTTTTTCTGTTGAATATAAATTAATTTCTAAATTGTATGTAATCTTTCTCTCAATGACTTATCAGACTGCCAAGAAGGAAGAGGAATACAAGCCGATTAGCTTGGCTGGAATGCAACCACCTGAAGAACCATTTACACCTGACTTGAGTCAACCTACAAGTCCCAGGCTGTCTGCTTCATCGCCAAATCAGTTGTCACCAAGGAATTTGCATGAAAAGACTCCATCTAAGATAATATTGACAGGATTCAAGGTGACTTGTTTTTTAGTTCCTGTGTGTATGAGCGTTATTTTCCTGACATGTTCAAACCAATTGTGTTTACAACAAGTCACAGAAGTATTGGGGCAGCCAATTAGCAAACTCGCTAGCGAATTGGCTAACTGCTTGAGTTTTGACTAAACAGTTGGCTTTCGAATCTCGCTGGCGCCGACTTGTGGTCCCGTCTACTCTGGGCGAGTCTATATTGCATAAGGGGACATAGAATGTTATATCTAGATTCCCCTGAATGATTTTCTTTTGTTACGCAAGGCGAGATAATGTAAAAAGTAGTTTCCCTGAGAATGGCCACAGTCAACTGGTGTACAAGGGATAATATGATGAATGCGATTAAGGCTAATCTACAGATATTTACTATATGGGGTAGCCATCGTGAACACTGCTTGGAACTAAATAAAGAGAAAAGTTCTGGGAGAAAATCGGGGTAACATTAAGCCAACAGCTAAAAAAATCGACATCATTCGTCGTTTTTGTGTGGGCAATCCCTTTGTATCAGAACACAAAGAACATAGAACACTTTCCCTGGTACATGTATATTTGAATGTGAAATCGCTATCCAACTGTAAGACGTCTGTCCTCTACTGTTATATAGATCCTTCCAGAGTGGGCGTGACCAACAGACAGCACCAATGATATTCGAAAGCCAACAGTTTAGACAAAACCAAAGCAGTTAGCCAATTTGCTAGCGAGTTTGCAAATTGGCTGCCCCAATATTTCTGAGACTTGCTGTAAAGTTACTACAAAGGCGAACATCAATTTGGTTTTTATTTGTTTTTTTCCCTCCCAAAATATTAAACATTTTCTCAGGCATGTCTGGACCAATTTCAATCAAACTTGGCATTGACATCAATCATGGTGGGCTAGGTTTGTTTTGCGATATTATTCAGAATAGCTGGCTAGCGGCCATGTTGGTGTCAACCGTTTCTCGAACGTGCTTTGACCGCTTTTGTTGAAAATAGATAGAATGATTGATTTTAACCATTTCTCACAAGCTTTAACTAACTTTGGTATGAGCAATATCTTTGATGTTTTGATTAGCTATTTGCTTTATGTATGCATTACATAATTTTGTACAATATGAGAATGATCTTATTCCTAGGACTTTCATGAAACATAATATTTTAAAATGCTGAATATTTAACAATTATAATCTGTCTAACATCTGTTATTGTTTAAAATTGACACACTAAAAACTGAATAGAAACTATTGAGAATGGCTTGTATTTGTTATGTACCAAATACATAATATTATAATAGTTTATTAATTATCTAATTTGCATAATGTTAATGAGTTTCATTTAAATTTTGTTCATTGTTAATTCACTACGTTCAATTACCTCCGGTCAGTCAAAATGACTATTTTGAACTGTAGGCATTAATCAGCGATTCTGCCAGTGATGGAGAGATAGAATCTAGGTCAGGGGAACCCCCATGACCCCAAGATTCTCTTCCCTTACGTCACGAACCACGTGACCGAGGCCATATGGCAGCGCCACTAACGGCTGGACAATGACTCTGATTTTTCCCCGCCTCGAATGGAGAAGAAATTTAGCGAGCTCTGCCCGGATCGCTTGCTTTTTTCCTGGCCGGGTTTCTAGCTTGGGTTGTTGCCGCTGGGCGGCATTCGACATTCTAACTGGTAGGATAAGTTTTTCATGTCTTCTTTACTCTCGTGTCGTTTTCCCCTTTGTGTGTAATATTTTTTCACAACAAAGAAATTCACTACGTTCAATTACCCACCATAGACTCCGGTCAGTCAAAATGACTATTTTGAACTGTAGGCATTAATCAGCGATTCTGCCGGGGACGGAGAGATAGAATCTAGATCAGGGGAAGCCCCATGACCCCAAGATTTCCTTTCGTGACTGAAACCATATGGCAGCGCCATAGACGGCTGTACAATCACTCTTCTTTCATCTCCGCCTCGTCGGGAATGATTCTTAGCGGCTCTGCCTGGCTTTTTTGCTTTTTCCTGTCCGGGTTTCTAGCGTGGGTCATTGCCGCAGCCGCGGCATCCGACATTCTAGCTGGTAGGATATGTTTTTCTTGTCTTTTTTACCCTCGTGTCGTTTTCCCTTTTGTGTGTTATGCTTTTTCACAACAAAGAAATCAAAACCCAGCGCCACTATGTAACCACTTGTTGGTTTCATGGCGGCACCTTTTACAACTGTATTTCGTTTCCCTCATGAATGTCGTCTTTTATTTACAATGTATTTAGAAATGGATAGATGCACTGGCAATGCCAGAAGCTCGCCGCCGGTATTATCCCCTCAGTTTTTGAGGCGGGTTTGAAACCATTGTACACAGAACTTACAGGACTGGAACCCACATGCTAAATGCTACCGATGTATTACTTGCATATGGGATTCGGGCGTCTGCCCAGAGGGTATTTGTGATCACTGGAGTTCTGAAGCCTGTGATTCTTTCCAGCATTTTGTAAAGATTGCCAAGACTGACCACGTCGCTCGCTCACGAAAAGGTCGCGCAGCAGGTGTAACCGGCATGGGTATGGGTGAGTTGTTCGTTGGCATGAGTGAGAAGTCCTCGCGCTCGGCTACCGGTACTCGTAACGGGATACCAAGCAAAAGGCCCGATGGTGGAGGTACCGACGTATTTCGGTCTCCCCTGCTGATCGGAGGGCATCTGCACAGTCTGTTTTTTCAGGCAGTGGGTTACCATGACCCTGTCATGAGACGCACTCTCGAACACGCTCTCGCCCACATATTTAAGCTGAGAGCTGGCAGTTTGTTCACATCGGATACAGTGGGTACCTCGGGCGGTCCCTCAGAGTTTGCAAAGCGTAATGACTCGATGAGCCACGCCGTTGGGGTGATGCGGAATATTATCAGTCCAGGTGACGCTATGTATATTCCCCCACCCTCGATCCTAAAGCAACCACTCACGGTCACTTATACGCTAAAGGGATCGCAGGCGCCGGGATCCAGATCGACCCCACCCGCACATCTCCCCTGGTTAAGCCGAGCGCTGAGCGTGGCGGACGGCGCGCAGATGGTGTTGAGGGGCGGCCGTTGGTCCGGCACAGAGGAGGTAATGCCAAAAGCCCCGTGCTGGGGAAATCTTTTGCATAACCCCTTTCACTGGACCAAACGTTACCCTATCGAGGCAATTTCGGATTCGGACCCCAATTCGTGGGACGAAACTAGAAGGCCCTGACAGGACCCCAAGGCTCCTTCCCCAGACCCCGGTACCACAAATTTCTGTTTTGCTAACCGGGTAAAGGGGGACGGCCGCGTTCCATGTCATTCTCATCGACCCGGTCTGAGACTATCCAACACGCCCTGAGGGCAGAGTTGCAACCCATCAATTTCCTAGAATTCGTGGGCGCAACACTGGAGCGCATTCTTGTGCACGCCCAGGACCCTGAGACCTCAGAGGCAGAAAGCACCCGCCTCCTAGACCAGGCGAAACAGTTAATGGTAGGCCACAGCACGGCTATGTGCAATATCCTCCAGTGTCATATGGCTCTCTTGGCCAGGGCTACTACTTTGGAGTGGGACGCGGTTTTAGACGCCGGCGAACTGAGTCAGAGGGTTCGCCACCGCCTCAGTTATGCAGACTGGACATCGCCCACCCTCTTTGATGGGGAGATAGCGGGTGCAGTCGCAGAGCTTTGGGGTGTAACAAACCAAATGGTCCAAGTCGAATTCGCTAGCCAGTTGGCCGCTGCCAAGGGTAAACGGAGGGTGCCAAGAGGCAAGCGCTCATACCCTTCCGCGGGAGGGAAGAGTAGCAGCGCGGCCCCGGGAAAGAGAGGACCAGGTGGTGGCTCCTCCTCCTCCTTGGGTGGTCGTCAATCCCGACAGTGGGGGAAGCATGTTTGACACTTACCTCTGCGACGGGAAAGATGGGCTTACGTTCGGCAAGGGATCGGGCTACGACTTAGTAACCCCAGTGATCTCCGGGGAAGCTCACCTCATGGAAGAAGAGAAACCCCCCTCTTGCTAACACTCAGTACACTCACTCTTGATACCACTGACATCTTCACCGCCCCTGTCAGTGTCACCACCCCCACACCCCCCGTTGGGGGGCACTGCCAGGGGATCCCCACAAGGTGGAAGCCATCAGACAGGAAGTAGACAGTTTGCCAAGAAAGGGCACCATACACAGAATAGTTCAGCCAGCACTAAGTCCGGGCTTCTACTCAAATGTATTTGTAGTACCAAAATCTACAGGCTGCTGGTGTCCAGTTCTGAACCTAAGCAGACTAAATCAGTATGTGTTTCTCGATCGGTTCCGCATGGAGACACCATCCAGTGTTTGACTCTCCGCCCACCGGTTCGACTGGCTAGCCTCTTTAGACTTAAGCGATGCATACCTGCACATACCGATGCACCCAGCGAGTTGCCATCTCCTTTGAATCGCCCAGCTGGGCCAAGTATTCAAATTTTGGGTGCCCCCCATTCGGGTTATGCACAGCGCCCTATGTGTTCACCAGAGTGATGAAACAATTAGTGCTGCTGCTTCACCAAATGCCGGTACACCCCAACCCAAACCTAGACGACTAGTTACTACACAACCCGGACAAGAGGTTAATAGCCAAACACCTCAGGCTAACACAGGATTTACTTCACCAGTTGGGCTCGTTAGTAAATCGACAAGTCCCATCTCGACCCAACACGCAGTTGGTGTCCCTGGGCATGAAGTTTTGACACTGAGGTAAGCTTGGTATATCTATTTCAAGTGTGTTGCTTAGCGCTAAGCAGCCTAGCCAAACGCCTAGTCAGCGTTCCCTCAGTGTCCCTCCGAGAACTAATGCGAATCATCGGAATGATGACCTCGGTTCAAAGGGTCGTTCCCCAGGCCGCACTACGTAGTCGCCCGGTATAACGCTTGGCTAGCCTCTTTAGACTTAAGCGATGCATACCTGCACATTCCGATGCACCCAGCGAGTAGCCTTCTCCTTTGATTCGCCCACATGGGCCAAGTATTCAAATTTTGGGTGCTTCCCTTTGGGT